TAGGTGCAGTATAGGTAACAACCGGCCGGCCAATTGCTTTGTAAGTAGCCAGCAAAGTTTCTTTGTCTTTACCCCTGGTGCTGCCGGCTAGCGCTTTGAGTATTTTGTTGCGGCTCTGGAATTTCGCGGCAATTGCGGTCGTATGCGGAGTGCCGGCTGTAAAGTGTGACTCCCAATATCTTTCGGTTAATTATGGACGAAATTTTTAAGCCATCGACCTTCACATCTAGTTTGAGCTTGTATTCCTTCGTACAGCTGGTGAAAAGGGTAACCGGGGATTTAGTCGGTTGAATTTTAAGCTGTCTTGCAGTGAAAAAGTCGGACAGGTCGGCGAGATTGCCATTCACCTTCGAATAAAGGTTATTAATATTCTGGCCAGACGCCAATATTGTGCAATCAATCATATTAATAAACTCCTTGTGGTGGAAGAGGGAGTTTCGGAATACAGAAATTAAACAATAGTGGGGAGAGGATACCACCCTGAGGAACCCCCTGTTTAATTTTTCTGGGTTTCAATGTTTCTCACCTCGGAATATTACCGATGATTGCAACCCCGACGGGATTGAGGATTCCTCAACGTCCGAAAGCAGCACTGAATGATTTACGGTGCCAAAAGCTTTTGACAGATCTAGTGCTTCCAGGACAGTTCGATCGTAGGAGCGTCGGCTTTGGATAAGGCCATTTGGTTTATCGGGTTAAGTGTTGTTGCGCCACTGTGCACTTTGCTGAAACCATGCTGATGTGCTGCTAGACTCAGATGGTAAGTGAACAGTAAGGCCTTAAGTGCCTTCCGAGGGATATCGGCCAATAAGAGTATCCTTTGTTGTCGGTATGTCGTCTTGTCCAACGGTTCTGTCCTATAGGACTGAGTAATGTACATCCTTCCTGATGGAGGCGGTGCGGCTTCCTATTCTTAAACCCAATATTAATTAATAGCAGGAAATGTGCTAAAAAATAATTAACAGCGATGGAGGACAGAAACTAATAGAAAATAGCAGAAGCTTATATACTCCACAGGTATACTGAATTCAGGCTTCCAAAGTCACTGTATTTTCTTTCGATAGGAAGTTTATAAGGGAAGGAGTCAAAACTCTGTCAAATATATGTATTTACGCACTGAAGTTCCCACACCGATAGTCACTTCTGGCATAGGCAGTCATCGGACGTTTCGCTTCGTCAAGTTATTTGTCGATATGACTTAGGCAACCAGGTTTTCAACCCCTTCGAGAATGATTAACCCACAAGGAAAGAAGCCGCTTGAAATGCATTTCGGTTTTATGATATTTTTATTAAAAAAAATTCTTACCACTAAATAGCCTAAGTGAATTAAAACTAAAATTATTTTAGTGCAACATCGGCATCACAACTGTTCATCTATTGCCGCCACCGTTCCGCATATGCCGCTCCACATTGCGACCTTTCTCCAACAGCTCGCGATAAGTTTTCACTTCATGACGCGGTATTTGTTGTTGATATTTCGAATCTAACAGACCGTAAACAAAATCCAATTCTGTCTCCACATCATGACGACCCTCCGGCAATTTGGCTATCAGCGCACGCTTCTGACAAACAAAAGTATCAATTGGCATGTTGCCGCCTTGTTTGGAATCAAAAATCTCCACATATATTTGATAGGGTGGTTTTGTAGGAGAAAAGTGATCACGCAGCAATTGCAACGCATCTGTCCAAGACTTCGCATCACGACGTACACCTTTCCACCATGTGGATGCAATACCTTGAAAGAGTAGTGGTAGACCTTTCAGTGCATCTTGATCGGTAATATCTTCCATATCCTTATAGGTTTCAATGGCATTGATGAACTCTTCAACGGCATCGTTGTCACGTTGTCCATAGAAACGTACCTTGCAATTGCCAAAGCTGCTTTTGGATTTGTTTGCTTGTTGTTGCTGCTGCTGCTGTTGTTGTTGTTCGGTGTGTTGTGGCCCCAAAGCGCGTATTGTTTCGAGCAGTCGTTGAAATTGCTCATCAGACATACGACCAGTCGACATTTCGGCGTAGGTCTTTGTGTTTTCTCGTCTGCGTCTGGTCTATTTATTGCGTTGGAGCACAACGAGCGAGCGACAAACCGCGGTAGCTTGTGCTGGCACAGCTAAGAGTTGACTGTTTTCCTTTTTGGCATCGCGTTTTTGGCGAGCGTTCTCTTTACTGGTTGTCTGCGTGCGAAAAGCTCCGCCAGTCGGTTGGCTCGTCAGCTGTTGTGAAATAAGTTGTTTACAGTATTGAAATGCATTAGTCATAAGCAGTTTGGAATGAGTGCCGTTGCTCTCTTGTGCTTAAATATCGACATATGCCTTGGACTACATAGTACATACATATGTAGATACATATATGTGTGTGCATATGTAGAAGTGCGTTCAAAATCCAAACGCACAATGTTGTGAAAATGATTAGTTAGATTTAAAGACGACGTTAATCTTTAGCTCTCTTCGGAATAGTCTCATCAAACGCTAGTTCAGACAGGTGGAGCTGAGACTGCCAATTTTTTGGCCTCTAAATTCAATAAATAAAATAGAACTAAAAAGCTTCAAGGATTGGTATGTTAGCTCTGTATATACATACATAGATAATTTTTACTAAAAATAGAAGCTCAACCAATCTGCCTCATACCGATTCCTTTAGACTGTTTTTTTTAAATGTTCATGAAAGAGAAAGGTAGGATAAGCCTCTTCATTATCTCACACAAGTTCTTATGTATCAAATTTTGTAAGAGATTAAAGTCCACCGTGTCGTCCCTTATCGGTGTGACCTCAAACACGGTCCGTCCACCAAAAACCAGATATTCAACATGTGCCAAATATTGGACAAGACCCGTGATAAGAGATTAACAGGACCCTTTGTTGAATTTAGAGCAGCTTATGATTGCATCAAAAGGAGCGGCCTTTCTGTTGCTACATCCATATATCACCACAGCACAACCACAGCTAGTATCAGGGCTGGCAAACCTTGGAGTATGCTGATGATATTGAAATCCTTGACCTTTACAACCGCGCCGTGAACTTTACTTCCTCCAGACTAGTTGACCCCTGCGGGTTAGGGGCTCAAGACTTTACCCGTGGTAAGGCATGTCTGTCGTAAGAGGCGACTAAAATCCAATAGTACCAGCGACAGTCGGGTCTTTTTACCGGAACGACCCGGATTTTTATCAGGCCAAGGACTGTCACTCCCGCAATATTCCCCGAAAACCAATTCGGGGAATAATTTGCGGTTACAACCACAACAACATCCAGACCAGTTATGGAAGCATGGCGTATGGGTCTAGTAATAAAGCAAGACTAGTCAGCACATTCGCGTCCCGGTTCCGACACCACATAACAGTTGTAACATTTTACTCGTCGGAGGATTTGAGGTCCTTGGCGGAACTACATAGCTGGTGAAAGCAAAGAGAAAGTTAGACTCCACTACTTTGAATAGATCAAGAGCGAAGGGAACTGGCTGGATTAGGTTAATAGCTATGGATGTGAAGAAACTGAAGAAACGACTATCGATAAAACAAAAATGTAAATGGTGCCCAAAATGTTTGGGAAGAAGAGAATGTGCGGTTATTAGAAGGTAGAAAGTAGGAAAAAACGCTCTCTCCTTCTGTGGATTGAAGAAGAGGAAGAAGAGGGGGTAGAGGATATGAGCAATTATTATGAATATTTGAAAAACCACTTTTGAGCAACACTGTAAATTTGTACATTTACATATAAACATATGCATGCGAGTATAACAACAACAGCAATAGATAGGAGTAGGTATCTATAGGTGGTTGATTCCAAAGAGAGAGAGAGAGAGAGAGAGAGAGGGAGTTTCTGAGCTAAAAAGACAGTTGTTTTTATGAACCTTTATTTTAATTTATTTATACATACATATATGTACATATATATGTGAAAGTGGTAATTATAAATTTATTAGTAGATTATACATACATATGTACTGTTATTCTGCCAGTAAATTTATTCAAATCAATAAATGAATAAAGCAAATTTTTAAAAAGATTAGATAAAAAATAAAAAAATTTTGCTGATTTCTTGAAGTTCTTACTTACCAACAGGTGTGTTCTTTGAAAAATATAGCAAATAACAGAGCAAGAGAGGGTGATAAAGAGAGGGAGGAGATAGAACAGTTGGGAGATTAGATTTATAGGACGTGCAACCCACAATGAATCAGATGAAATCAAGGTAATAATATACAATATGTATGTGTATACATATATATAATAAATATATATATATAAATATATATATATATATAAATATATATTTTTGGCATTTTGCAGCCGCTTAAACGATCTTCGGCCGCGCTCCTCTTCCAATTTGTGGTTTTCCGTCTTGATGTGTTTTTCAACAAATGGCGGAGTCTACAGCTTATACTAAGCCGCCTCCGAACGGCTGCTGGTTATTTTTACTAGGAGCCTTTATTTCGAGGAAGAAATAAATCCGGAGGGGTTGAAATTCCCTGCCGTGGGGCGACCGTATTTAGAAAATCTAACTTATTTTTTTACTTTAATTAATTTTATATAACTCTTGGATGTTAATCATACCAGGATTTGAACCCAAGCAGCCCGATGAATCGCTTAGCAACCGCACCACGCGTTAACGTTTTTAAAACCAACAACAAAAATGGAAATTTAAGCGCGGACAGGTTTCTCCTCCTCTTAAACGTCCAGCGACTCAAGAAAGATGTCAAGTTTTCAATAGATTTGAAGAGACAAGATCGAATACAGTTATAGTGAAGAATGTGCGTCATCGTTTTGCTCGTTTCACCTCGAATATCGCCGCTTTAAGTGAAAGTTTGGTCGTAGACCCGAATGTGCATATTTTTCGGTATTTTCACCAACTGGTACTTTCTTACACCAACATCCATATAAAGTCCAGCTCACACTACAACTGAGGCCTGCAGACTATGACTGTACATTGGGTGCTTGAACAACAAGCAGTGAACGGCGATTTTTCGAGCAAAATTTTCTTAAGCGGCGAGGCACATTTGTCACAGAATAAGCAGAATGGTCACAGTTTGGTGCGCTCTTTGCTCCCGAGGTGTGATTCGATCTTACTTCTTTGAAAAAGACAACGCATGGCAACCTATTTTTTCGACCTACAGGACAATAAGTGGTTTCAAAAAGATGGTGTCACATGCCACACAACACGAGCGAACATGACTTTATTGTGGGAGAAGTTTGCCGGCCGCGTAATTTCTCGTCTTGGAACCTCTATTGTGGGGCTACTTGAAATAATTTGTCTATACTGATAAACCTTAAACTCTTGAGCACTTAAAAACCAATAATCGTCAGGTTATGGCCAGAAATAAGTGCGAGATTCTCCTCCAAACTGTGGTGTGCGTCTGGATGTTCTTCCAACAACAAATATAATATGATTAAAATCAAGTAAAATTTTGAAGTAATTTTCAACTTTTAATAAACTTGGAAATTTTTGAATTTTTTTATACAAAATAATGATTTCAAAGGTTTTTACGTGTACATAGACATACATATATATGTATGTATTTATTATTGTTTTTGCAAGTCCCTACCCAAGTTATTTCATAACATGTGGAAATCGCAGCTCATAAACAGAATTTTCGCAGAAATATATATGTACATGCATATATATGTAAACATAATGTGCATGTTAGTACACGTACTATATGTACATGTATGTATATAGGTTTGTAAGTAAGTCGATCTCCATACTCTCCAAGCTAAGCGGGGTTTCTTCAAAATTAAATAAAAAAAAAAAAACAAAAAATATATTTTTTGGATATTTTTTTAGTTTAATAATTAAAATAATTTAATAATAATTAATAATAACTTATTAATAATTTAAGCGTTTGAGAGTTGTTTTTCTAAAAATTTTAATTTTTTCACATTAAAAACAGTCATTTTGACAAAATTTAGCCGGCAAACACAGTTGGCGTCGTTACTCATCCAGATATGCACATGCTTATATACATATGTATGTATACATGCAGATATATGCGCCAAAATACATAACCCATACGCTATAGCTCCCACTCTCATTTGTATTTGGCTTGCAAAAGCTTTTAGAGAAACTTTGTGCTCTGCTGTTTCTCTCTGATGCCGTCACCCGGCAAAGCCGACTAGCTATAAAAGCCTCTGCGCTTCGAAGCTAAATTCAGTCTCTTACGACCATAGCAAGTGAAAAAGTTTAAAATTTGTAGCAGGAAGACATTCGCCAACAACAAATTGGCTTTGATCGCTGCTACCCAACAATAAAATAAAACACTGAAAAACAACAATAACAAATATAAGATTAAAAGTGCGTGTGTCAGTCTTAAGTTCTTAACTACAAAGTTCACATTCAACTCAACACAACAACAAAATGGCACAAACCGTCGTCCAAATGACCGCCGAACAGTTGCAGTCACTCATCGAATCGGTTCGCTTGGCTGCCGTCGCTGGTGCCAGCAGCGCTGCACCAGCCACCATTCATACCAAGGGTTCTTTCACCAACTGCACCAGCCGTTTCGGTGGTCAACGCGACCATGAGGCGGTCGAGGAGTTCATCACCTCGATTGTGACATACAAAGAAATCGAGTCGATTAGCGATGAGGATGCCCTCAAGGGTCTATCTTTACTGTTCTATGGATTGGCGTCCACTTGGTGGCAAGGCGTGCGTAAAGAAGCGAAGACTTGGGGCGATGCCATTGCCCTGATACGCGATCACTTCTCACCCACCAAGCCGGCGTATCAGATTTATTTGGAAATCTTTGAGCAGAAGCAGGAGGACTCTGTGCCAATTGACACTTTCGTTTGCCAGAAACGTGCGCTCCTAGCACAATTGCCTGAGGGACGTCACGATGAGGAGACCGAATTGGATTTGGTTTATGGTTTGTTGGATATCAAATATCGTAAGAATATTCTACGTCAAGATTTGAAATCATTCCGTGAATTGCTGGAGAAGGGACGTATCATCGAACACAACAACCTGGAGTCGGAGGCAGTGCAAGGTGGTCCGGTGCGTGGCATGAAACGCACCAAACGCTGCACTCACTGCAACTTCCGCGGCCACACGTTCGAGGAGTGCCGCAAACGCAAAACGGCTTCCGCCGGTGATGATTAAATGTAGGCACCATACACCTCTTCAGCAGCTAAAACCAGCGATGCACAAAACCATATCCGATGACTACACACAATGCACCTGACAAAAACACAGCACACCACATCACAAAGAACAAACGTCGGACGATGATGTCATCAGACAGTGACGACTTCGCCCGTGCAGCTTACGTCGCAGTCAAATTACTAAAGCAAAACTTTCGCTCTCAACTACGAAACAGCAAAGCAGCGTCGAACTTTGGTCCCTTTGGCGTAACGCGGCAACAGCAGCAACAACACTACTAGGTTTTAGTATTAGCACAAACATACATACATACAAGCATACATACACACATTATTATCGTGGCTCTGAGTTGCTCAAAGTTCTCTTCAAATCTAAAGGAAATTCGTTTTCTAATAGTGGCGAAGAGAGCGGCGGGCGCTTGGAGCCACATACCACAAACGCTGTGCCAAGCACGGCTACTCATGGCTGCGAACGCCATACAACAACCAATCTTCTAAAAGACTAAATCTTAATGAAGAGCAAAGTACTATTTGAATTTGAAACCAACTCCAGTTCTTCAGAACTGACAATCGAGCCACGATTCAGATCAGCCAAGCGTCAGTAATACTAGGCGCTCTTAGCTTCGCTTAGCATTTCTTGCAACAAACAAGTTTCTTTCTTCCATCGATGTGAGTAGTGATTTCCTGCTCTGCTGGTCTCGAGGTGAGAGTTACGTTTGCTTGACTAAGCAGTTGAGATTCTTACGGGGCTCTCAGTTGCTCTGCAGGCTATTACGTGTCTCCTACCTTTGGCTGTGAGTGCAAGTTTTCATTGCTTTTCGGTGGAAGAGAGATATGTTTGTTTTGTTGTTTGAATTTCTAAGGTCTGAAGCTGATTGCGCTTTTTATGAACTTGACTGTGAAGATGAGTGGCTCAAAACCCCGCTGCATTCGTCTGCGGACGGCTGTGGTTCAAGCGCTGTAGAGTGACTGTTTAATTGGTGCATTTTTCTGCATTTTCCGCATATGAAGGGGGCATGTTGATGTCTGGTGGGTACTTTTCGCGGCGTCTCGGCGTTGTGCCAAGCGTTCATCAGCTCAATTTGCCGCTGGCAGTTTGTGGCAAATGCAGAACCGTTCCAATTTAACTCAAACTATGAATATGGCTTTTGAGCTCGGTCAGCCGCTCTCGAATTTGGCAACAACTTAAAAAAACCGTTGCATTTGGAGGTGCTGTCTGACATTTTGTATACCGAATTGATACCGTTTGGCTATGCGTTCGGCAATGCGGGTTTGACGGGCTCATCTTTTGCTGCTTCCGTTCATTGTATTTCCCCTCGGGGACTTGCTTTGTGCGTGTGGGCGTCAGGAGGTGCTTCCGTTGAATTCATTTTTCTCTCGTTTAGCCGACATATCAGTGCGGTTTGCAATCATGTTGTCGGTAACTCCAAATGTGGCAAAACCACAACAAACAAAAAATCGCGTTTAAGCACACTTTTGGACTAAATTGTACAACGATGGCTATGCGTTCGCCATTCGTACAATTGGCACGCCGAATTGACGAGTCGCAGTGTAAATTCCTTTGAATTACTCCGCGACGTCAAGCTTTTGGCTCGCCAACAAAAATGCATTCCTGCATTCACTCACACTTTCCAGCTGAGATCAGACGCTCGTTTTTCCTCCGAAACGAAGTGTTGACCTCGGCTCTCATAATGAAAAACAGCATTTCTCATGTGTTATGTGTTATTTCATGCTCGCAGTATTGAAATTGAGACATCAAAGCGTGTGTACCACCAATCGAACTTCACACGAGAGCGCCATAATTGCGGAGGACTTGGCCGAAAAAACGTCTGAAGTGAAACTGGTGGCATCACCGGCTAATAGTTTGGCAAAGTTACTGGAAAATGAGTTTGAGATATTAATTTCACCTGAGGAATGCTGCCTTACTTTACACTTTATACGGTTTAAGTAACTAATTCTTTGTAACTAGCAGTAAGCATTGGAAGAGGAAGTAAAAATTAAAAAAAAAAAAAAACAAAAAAAAATTAAAACACAAAATCCTAAAAAAATAATAAAACTGCACAAAGCAAACTGCAAAAAAAAAAAAAATAAAAAATACAAAGAAAATCAAAAACTAAACTTTATATTGTCTTATCACTTGGGAGAATGGCGGGTGGTGTTTCTCTCTTACAGGACATGTTCTTCAGATTCATATTTTACTTCGGATATTGGTTTACTGAGTTGAGGATTACCAAAAACTTAAACTAAATGACGAGTTATGGAATTTCCTGATGATGAGAAGTATTAAAAAATTATAATTTTGGTTGCCTCTCAGCAAGCAATGCCACCATACACTGAGCGTCACCTTATTCCACAGCAACTCAGGCTTCGAAGTAATTTGTGAGGGGTCACCAGTCTTAAACACTCTCCTGTTTACCTCAATTTTCATTGCGCCTCATATCGAAGGGGTTAACATTCACTACCGAGGGGCGACCACAGTTCGAAAAAAAAATTTAGTTTCAAACCAAGCGTTCAAGCTCTAACTGAAGATAACAAGACGAACCATTACTAAGAAATGCTCACAAGAAATAAGACGTAAAATTAATGATCTTATTTTTCTACGATGCTGAAGACATTTCTTACAAAGAATTTCTGTAAATTTGGCATTTTTTGAAGCTCCGTGGAAATTGGTGCCGTTTTCAGTTTTTACCAGTAGACCTTCGTACTCTTAACTAGATTTGAAGCGGAGGTAATCAAGAAGAAGTAAAACGCCAAGAATTTAGCTTTATTTTAAAGACGGGCAAGTAACCGTCGCGACTGGTTCGAATGAATTTCAGCCGAACAATTCTGAAATTATCGACTACAGCAATCGCGGCAGTCTGTCAGCAAAAATTCGCCGAAATCTCTCTTCCAAGGCGTCAGTCGTCTCGTATTTAAGTCGCACGATCCTGGAGGCCACACCTTAGGGCCATGAGGCGAGATACCGCGCTCACCAAAAGTTTCCTTCAACAACTTTTTCGTTCACATCAACTCCACCAATTCAAGCCAACACACACTAAACACGGACTCTGTCGGGATAGAACGGCGTCTTGACAAGGGCTTTTCGATTATCAGCAATTCAAATACGCTAATTTTGGTTATTAACCTACCCATTCAAGCCAAAGTGAGTTTAACCGCTAAAAATTTTCTTTTTTTTTTTAGAAAACTAGGCTCGATGACCATCTCGCTTTGAGTCCATTCACCGAACGTGCGATTCGTCCAATAGTCGTTCGGTTTCAACTCTTGCACGAGTTAGATTTTACACTTCAGTAGAATCATCTTTATAGTGGATGGGCACCAATTGTTACGTGCGGTGATAGATGGCCTCATTCGGGTCTTCGCCGATATTCTGCTCCACAGCAACAGCGTATTCGGTGCACACTGTATCCCCTCTCTGAGGATGCAGATTATCCACTAGAATTAACGTGGTGTGGAACCGATCCATGGCTGGTCAAATTACCAAACTCTGTTGGGCGATTATGCCAAGCGAATATTGGACGTAGGACGTGATATGTCAGCGGTAGATTTGCACGATTTGCAAGCTGTTCATTAAGAAGCTGCAAGCCAAGCTGAGTATAAATCAAGTAGGACTAACCTCGCAAAAAGTATCGCCACATTGACCACACGTCTAAGAGAAACACCCTTTAAATCGGCAGTAAATTTCTTTCCTTGCTGGAATGGATACAGAAAAACCTCGTTTCGAGGCAGCAAAAACGACCCCAGCCTACCTTTCAGTTAAAGGTTCTTTGCAAAGTCTCATAAAGTCAAATATTCACATTTTTTTTTGGTGTTTTTTTTTTATTTTGTTGTTTTTTTTTAGATTTGGTATGGTTTCAGTAGAGATTTGATATAGATTTTAGAGTTTTATGCATTCAAAAGCCATTGCCATGCGAATTCCCACATTACTCGATGCCAAAAGAAAGCTTATAAACTGGTGTGGCTACGAAGCGTCCGTCATCGATACCTACACACCGTATGAACGTATGTAGATGTGCGGGCCAGTTGCTCCAGACTCTTTGATTGGCGCTCGCATCCGATGTGAAACAACCAAGTGGCCAAGACCAATGTCAGGCTTAGATGGCGCCATCAAATAATGTGGGAATAGTACATGGGAATGACGAATGAATACTGGGTTCAGGACAATCACAACATTTCTGGAGCGTAAAGCCAAAGCGAATGCTGTGATGAATCATGAACCAAGGAAAGAGTGTAGACTGGGTTGACGTGCCACAAATCCAACGTGCAACAACAATTTAGCTGTGCGTCAGTTTGGCGTGCCAACAGTACGAATGGCGACGAATGAGCCATCGTTGTACAAATAAAATGAGGAGAGGGGGGCGCACGTTCAAGTGCCCGTCGTTGTGGTTGTCGCATATGAGAATTGTTGCACGAAGATTCCGAGGCTCTACTACCGATAAATATATGTATGTAGACGAGTTGATATTACAGTGCCAGTGATGGCAACCGAGGAGACTCAACCACGCGCTCAGGTGTATATATGAAATGTGCTCCCGAAGGAAAACACATGTAGTTAAGGCTAAGCGTGCGAGAGAGTGAACGAATGTACGTCAAAGACAATGCAACATCAACTCAAATACACACATTTTTAACGGCAAGAAATCACAAAATCTCGTACAACAATTTCACAGGCAACAACACGATTTGCGGCACTCACTTGCGGACCTTCAAGGCTCAAGGTATAACAGTGGAGTCTACAGTTCACAATAGCAGCGAGAACGCACTATTTGTGAACACCCTCCTCGTTGACCCTTTGAACTTTAAAAATCAGCAATGGAGTGCAACGCATTTGCAGTCACTGTTCAGCAAGCAGCACTGGAATCATGTTACCGTCCACTTGAGCGCACTCCATACACCATTTCCGACTCCCAGTTGAACATACTTAGATCGGTTGTAAATCAAGCAGTCGAGATCTGCGAGAAGATTTCAAATACCTGTTTAGTAACCGAGCTTGCGCGAAACTTACAAAAAAGCAAAGCTAGACATTTTTTATGCTATCCCCGAAGTCGGAATGGAAATGGAAAGAGCTACTGGGACAATAACAAATCAGCGCTGGTGCCGAGAGTGACTCGTGTGTGGGTAAACTTCTGGTTTTTTTTTTTTGGTGATAACCAGAAGTTTTTTTTCATTCTTAAATAAGAGCTGGCGTGGGTTCAGCCAACTTGGGCCGTGTAGGCCGGAATGTAGTATAGCGTTTGCGTTGAATGAATTTGGAGTGGGGGTGGGTATCGGTAGTGTTGGAAGTGTCATTGTGATCCGCTCTTCTATTGCAATTTGCGAGCTCATAAAGGCAGCCTGAACAACAATCGGCGCTGCCCTTACAACTTAAACAAAATTGCAATAGATTTCAGGACACTAATGAACATCCCGTCGGTTGGTTGCGGTGCGGCTTGTGTGCATGTGTGCGTGTGGATTTACAAATTATATTTCACTAAACTGTCTTATTATATAAATTAACGTGCGTCTCGTGCTCGACGATCACTGCTTTGGTTGAGGTTGGTTGGCAAACCCTTGGTTGCTGGTTTGTGGAGGGGCAGTTGTTGTATGAATTCAGCTACTGCAAGCTGGCTGACGAGCACCAGCTCATTGCTCATCTTTCGTCTCACTTGCCGCTGCATCACTTTTCCCGTCTCTACTTTTATTCCCTTGCCCTTCATTTCGGCGCTTTCGACATTCCTCATAGTTGTGACCGCGGAAATTACAGAAACTGCAGCGTTTTTGACGTTTCGTCGCCTGTATTAGTTGCTGCGTATCATACTCCAAGTTGTTGTGTTCGATGATACGTCCCTGTTCCAGCAGTTGACGGAATGTCTGCACATCTTGTCGTTGTATGTGTCGGCGGTATTTAATATTCAGCAAACCGTAAATCAAGTCCAATTCAGCACACTCGTCGTGTCGTCCCGCCGGCAGTTGAGCGAGTAGCGCACGCTTTTGATAGATGAAGACATCAATGGCTGTACGTTCATCTTGTTTGCGGCTGAAGATTTCCAGATAAATTTGATACGGCGGCTTGGCGGGCGAGAAGTATTCTCGTATTAGCCCAATAGCATCCGTCCAGGTTTTGGCCTCTTTACGTACACCCTGCCACCACGTGGAGGCCATGCCGTGTAACAGTAGCGATAGACCTTTGAGCGCATCTTCATCGCTGATCGCTTCGATCTCTTTATACGTCTCGATGGAATGTATAAACTCTTCGACGGCCCCGTGATCGCGTTGCCCACGGAAGTGGCTGCTGCAGTTGCTGAACGAGCCTTTCGTGTGGACAGTGGTGCTGGCTTTACGCAGGGTGTCGATTAAGGATTGCAGCCGGTCGGTGGCTATGTCTTCGGACTGTGACATTTTGCGAAAAACTAAAATTACTTTACTATTAATACGATAATACAAAAGCCAATTTCTATTGGCGAATTTATTAAAACTATTCAAACGCTTCGGTCGTACGAGACTGATTTTGATTGCGACGTTCACAGTCCTTTATAGTCGTGCGTTTGAGCAGGCAGCAGGCGCGTAAATATGAAATGTATACAAAAGAAGAGATACAGTAAAGCTCACGATCATATATACTCACTTCACGCATTGCAGATGTGAGGGATCCTGAAATATTTTTAGTAGCGTCGCCAAACTAGGGTTGTTGAGTGGAAAGTGTAGAGTTGTTTGCAATGAGATCTTAAGCCATGCTATATGAAAACGAATGGTAGATGAATCAGGTCAGGGGGTATAAAAGCTGAATCGACTACAGTCTGTCTCCCTTTTGACAACTTGAATATCTGACCTACTTAAATTTTATGCTTGAATTGATGAAATGTTTATTGAGTTGAGGTGAACCCAGTATGGGTTAGTAGAGTGTCGCTGGTACACAGAATCCTTCTGGTTTCATCTCCAAACTTGTCTTTTCTGAGATTCCCAGACAATAAGAATATTTTCTTCATCACCTATTAGGTCAAAAATATACACGGCTCACTGTATTCAGTCATCCAAGCATTAGGATGGGCTTCAAAAATATTTATGAATACATTCATGCGTAAATTAAAAAATGTAGCCCCTTCATAGACATTCTTTTTGATTAACCACAACTGTCTTTAGTTTTCTACAGACGGTACAAAATCTTTAACGTATGCTAGACATAAAACACTTCCCCAAAGAACTACTTGAGATTATCTTTGTTCTTAGAGCAGAACTATCATGCTTTTATTGCCTTCAGATTGGCTTAACCTAGAAGAATGTGTTAGGGAAATAAGTTCGAAATTTTATAAGCTTTTTAATGATCTGATTACCCTAAAGTGGATTTTACGTTGAATGCACACTGAAGTTTCTGTATACAAATTTGGGTTTCTTGAAAGGGCGTAGGAGTGGCATTCATTTAGGGGGATGCATAAAAATTTCGAAAATATTTCGAAGATTATTTATGCTTCGCATCATTTAATAAAATATATAAATAAAGTGAATTGAAATGATAACAAATATACTATAAAAAGAAATTCATCTAAATAATATAAAACAGAATAATAAAAATATGAAAATACAATGCATTAAAAAAAATAAAAAATAAACGAAACAAATTAAGATAAATAAAGTTAAATAATTTAAACTAAACTAAATAAATTTTATAAAATAAAAAATAAATGAAAAGATTAAATAAATTGAATATAAACAATATAATTAAATAAACTTAAATAAATAAATATAATCTAGAACAAAATAAATTAACTGAAATAAACATAATAAAATAAAACAAAACAAAATTAAATAAAATCAAATAAAATGGAATAAAATAAAATAAAATAAAATAAAATAAAATAAAATAAAATAAAATAAAATAAAATAAAATAAAATAAAATAAAATAAAATAAAATAAAATAAAATAANAAAACAAAATAAAATAAAACAAAACAAAATTAAATAAAATCAAATAAAATGGAATAAAACAAAAAATTAAATAACTTAATAACAAAATAAAGTAAATTTAAAATATTAAATTAAGTAAATAAAAAATATAACAAATTAAATATTAAAAAATTATTTAAAAATAAAATAAATAAAGTCAAATAAAGCAAATTAAAAGAAAATAAAATATTAAAAATAAATGTTATTTTGGTGTAAATAAAACACAAAATAGAACATAAATAATATATAAAAAAAATTTAAAATATAAAGATAAAAGAAAAATTGAAAATTGAATAAAAAAAATTAAATAAAATAAATAAAAAATGAAACAAAAATTTTAAAAATAAAAAAATGTTAAATATATAAAACAAAATGAACTTGAAAAAAACAAAATAAAAAATAAAATAAAATGAAATAATTTTACTTAATTAAGGGGGGGGGGGGGGGGGGCCTGGTTCAACGGGGTTCAAAGGTTTGATTAGAAATATATTTAGAAATATTTCTACAAAATTTCAGAGTCAAAATCCTAATTGTTCCGCAGAAATGCCCTCTGAGAGACAATGCGCTCAGGAGACTGATAAGCGGGCGCGAGAACTTTGAACGTGATTTTCTCAAAACAGTGTTTTTCTGTTTTGTACACACGATTAAAAAAGTTCTAATTGACACATTTTCATAAGTGATACCTTTTTTTAGCTACAGCTAATAGTGTAGGCTTCTATGTGAACCTAAAAAATCACAATAAATTTTTTTTTTATTAATTTTTTTCAAAAAATTGTCTTAAAATTTCTTCAGAAAAACGAAAAATTTTTTATAAACAGTCATAAAATAAATAATTTTGTACATTTCTTTAAATATCTTAGGTTCACATAAAAAAACAACTCTTAGGCTACAAAAAAAGTATTCGTTTTTATGTTTCAGTTGAAAACTACGATCGCCATCGTGTTCACAAAATAGACTCTTCGAGAGAGAAGTGCCACAAACAAATACGAATTGTTATTGCTTAACAGTATCAAATAAAGTGAAAGTAAATTTTTTTTGCAAGATTTGTGTATCTATGACTTATTTCAAAAGTACCTGAAACATATCACACATAAGCCAACTTAAAACACTGTGCCGAACATCATGCAATTTTCAGCGCTCTAATCCAGCTTCCCCCCTTAAAATAACATAAAATCAACTAATTCAATTTAAATTAAAAATATTTATTATAATATAATATAAATTAAAAGAAATTATTTAATAAAATCTGATATATTAAAATAATATAAGTTTAAGTAAAAAAAATTAAAACTAAATATCGAATGAAATTAAATATTATAACAAAATAAATAAAATAACATAAAATTAAAATCAATTATATAAAATGAAATAAAATAAACTAATAATATGAAAATAATATAAAATTTAAAAAATTTATGTAAAAAATCAAAATTAAATAATTAAGTCACAAACAATAAAGCGAGAAAAATAAAATTCAATTTGTAAACTAAATTAAAAAAAATTAAATAAAAACATATAAAGTAAAATAAAATGAATAAAAATAAATAAATTAATTAAAAAATTTACTAAAATAACATAAACATATATAAATGTAAGTAAAATAAAAAATATAGAAATTACAGAACTCGAAATAAAATAAAAAGATAAACTCAATAAATAAAAATAATAATGAATTTAATAGAATAAAAAACAAATAAAAACTAAAATTAAATTAAATAACAAAATAAAAAATATATTATAATTCAATAAAATAATAAACTGTAATATAATAAAACAAAATAAAATAAATTAAAATGAAATAAAATAAAATAAAATAAAATAAATTAAAACAAAATAAAAGAAAATTAAATAAAATAGAAAATAGAACAAAAATAATAAAATACGACGAAAACATAATAAAATTAAAAATAAAAAGATTAAGGAAAAAATGAAGATTAAATAAAATTTAAAAAAAAAATTAAAAAATACAAATAAAACAAAATATAAAAAGAAAATAAAATAAAAAAAACACAAAAAAAATTTAAACTTAAATAAATTGATATAAAATACTGTAATATAATAATAAGGAAAAAATAAAATCGTAAAAAATATTAAAAATAAAAAATAGCGTAAAAAATGAGTATAAATTAAAATGAAATAGAAAAAATACTATAAATTACTGTAAAATAATTTAAATCAAATAAAGAAAATCAAATTGGCGGCCGCGTTGTACGAGTAGTTAGCATTGCGTATTGGCACTCGGAAGGCTCGGGCTTAAATCCTGGTGTCGACCTAACATCCAAAAAGTTATAGAAAATTATTTTCAAATAAAATATTAAGCTAAATTTTCAACACTACCGAGTGTATTTCGGACATGAAATAAAGGCTAAGGGCTCCTCGTAAAAAAAGCTGTCAGCCGTTCGGATAAACTGCAGGTCCCACCATTTGTTGGAAAAACAACAAGACGCAAAACCACAAGTTGGAGGAGGAGCTCGGCTGAAAATCGCTTCAACGATTACAAAGCGCCAGTTATACACATAAGGTCAACAACCTCGTATCCCCCCGTTGAAAGCAAACTAAGCTACTTAACGCACTTATGCGTTCAAACTACATACATATGTGTACGATTATATGTAGTTATGTATATTTGTATATGTATACTTACTCGAGCAGACGAATTCAGTTGAGAATAGTATAGAATTGCATTTCTGTTGAATTTCTGTGTTTTTACGTGATTATTTTATAAACATATTGTTAATAAATTAAAACAGGCAAATATGTATATGCATATGTATGTACATATATAATAGTTTAATATAAATATTTTCGATTTTGCGTTATTCTAAAGAAATCCTCTATCTCAAATTGCACCCATAAATTGATTTTATTTCCGCTTATAACAGTTATTTTCCATAATAACAATAAATTGCGTTCACAGTGGGTAAAATATTGATAACTTCAAGAAGGTAATTGTACTGTTCGGTAAGCCGAAGGGCAGTCAAAATTGTTTACAATTTTTTTTTTAAATCGTTCGGTGAGGCAAAAATATTGTAACATTAGCACCGAGAGGGACAAATTTTGATATTTCGTTACTCGGATTTCTCACCGAACAGAGCAAATATTTGGGTCCTGTCACTTGGCTCTTTTGCGCAATGAATTTTATTTTATACCAGAGATGCTCAACAAACGTAACGGAATAATATCGCTTCGCTGAGAAGAAAAAATAACTCAACAAAATGAAATCGTTAACGTTGAAACCGCGCAATACTCATTGTTAACGATAATTTTAAAATGTTTCAACCCAAACGATAAAAATTTTTAGGTTAACGTGTAATTTACCGTTACGATGCAACCTTTTTTTATACTCATCATTTTACATTTAGTATTTCTGTAGTTGATAGGGTCCACTCTTTCATTTGACTTCAATAAAGTGGCAATGGCTGTACATTGCCCTTAAGTAAAGGGTGATTTTTTAGCTATTAAATAGCTGACGCGCGTTTCGTGTTTTGTATCGCTGCCAAACATCTTCAGCTTGGTCTACAATTCAACCATGAATCATCTTTTTATTATCAAAATGCGAGCTCTTTTTTGGTTTAATGGGTGGGAAAATAAGCAGAATTGTCGATTTTGGAGTGAAGATCAGCCTGAAGCGTTGCAAGAGCTACCAATGCATCCAGAAAAAGTCACAGTTTGGTGAAGTTTATGTGCTGGTGGCATCATTGGACAGTACTCCTTCAAAGACGATGTGAATGGTAACGTAACTGTGAATGGTGAGCGCTACCTTGAGATGATATCAAACTTTTTTTTTGCCCAAAATGCAAAAGCTTGACTTGCATGACATGTGTTTCAACAAGACGGTGCCACATGCCACACAGCACTCGAAACAATGTACTTATTGAGAGACGAGTTCGGTGAACATTTTATTTCACGTTCGGAACCGGGGATTGAACCGCCTAGATCGTGCGATTTAACACCTTTAGACTACTTTCTGTGGGGCTATGTTAAATCTAATGTCTATACAGACAAGCCCGCTTCAATTGACGCATTGGAGGATCACATTGAGGCATTTATTCGTGAGATACCGGCCGAAATGTTGGTAAGAGTATGCCAAAATTGGACTAAGCGGATGGGCCATTTGAGGCGCAGTCACCATCGATTCAAATAAAGAATTCATTCATTTTCAGAATTTTTTTTTTTTTTTGAAATCTGTGCTATAGCTCTTAAAAATCACCCTTTCGTTAAGAGTGCTAAATAATTCATTCTTAGATATTGTTTTATGAACGAACAACCCATTTTTTGCCCACTGTGATTAATGAGTAATTGAAATACTCATTAATTTCGTACCGAAAAAAAGTAAAATAAACAAAATTATGGCTAAAGCTGAAGCAAAATTATATATAAATATTTAATAAATCTTTATGAAAGTACAATATATTTTTTTGAGTGCCTTTTTCAGAAATTTCATATACATAAACATGTACCTTTAGATGCATGTATGTATATATATTAAGGCACTCAATATTGTATTCTTTTCCCAATACTAGAATCAAAAGCACGTTGGATAAGTAAACAGTTTTCTCGCTCTCTCTTGACAAAAACGCTCTCTTACTGCGAATCCGTAAAGCATTATTTTTAGAGTAAATATTTAAAAAGTAGCTAAATACTTTATTTTTTTATGAAAACATTTGGTAGACATCGCATGCTCTTTTCTGATTGGCTGATTCAATATTTTGACAACTATTTAATTATTTATTTTTTCCTGTTACGGTATTAATTTTGATTTGAAATAAATTTGCCGATAAATCGATTTTGACAACTATTCACCACCATGTTTGAATAACTCTGCCGGTTGGCCGTCAGCTCCAGCCGATTTGTTGATCTTTGAGCGCACAATCGCTATTCGAACGACAACATTGTCGGGCGGTGTAACATCTTCAGATTCCCGCCGGTGTTGCAGTAGATCCAATTGTACCATCTGTTTTTGCGACCTTTTCTATAACCAATAATTTCATTTGAAGATGTATGCAGTGAGCTTGACATGCCGATCCACAGTTTTCTTATACCGATTGGTTGATCACTGTATTTTTCTGAGAGCAGGATTGCTAGTCTAATAGAAAACCATTCGGCAGTCTGTTGTGATTGCAGCTTTTTTGCTCAGAGTGTACGCACGTCAAGAGCACCGGAGATATGTCTTCCTTCTATCACAATATGACCGACCTGGTTTGGGTTTTTCGATCTGGAGACATATAAGTACCTTGATTAATTTTCTTGAATCATGAATCAAAAGTACGATTTTTAGACTTAGGGTTTATTCATTTCACAGAAATTTTTGCCATTTTAATTTTTTTCTTCCAAAAATAAATTTTTCATTAAAAGTCCTTTTTAATCTCTCACCCAAAGGAGGACTGTCAAAGTTTATATATATATTTTCATTTTCTTCGCTGGCGTAGGCATCACGTATGCGAATATTGTCTACGCAACAATGAACCACAGATCGTTTTCTGGGAGGGACATAAAGTCTTTTAAGTCTCTTCCGAACGGCTGAAGTATTTTTATGAGGCGCCTTTTTCCCAGACGGAAAATTAGTAGAATTTCAACAGATGGCTTTAGTGATTTCGGTCTCGCGTTCTATAAGTACGATTGAATTACCCTGGATGGCGTTAGAAAGACGATATTTTGTACCAAAAGAGATAACGGGCGAAGTATTGATCACTTAACTCCGTAGTGTTTGAGCGCATGGCGAAGATGGAAACCAGCGAAGGGAATATAAGCTAGATTCTACAATTTTTCTCCGATAAAAGCGGAACGCAAATCAGGCTGCTGAAGATGTGAAAGTTCTTATACTCTGGATGGACAAAAAAGCTCAATGTGTAGGTTCCACATGCGTTAACGAGTTAAAACCTCATATAGCGAATTTCTCGCAGGGAATCGTTACTGAATCGAAGCAAAATCGATCAATTTCTGATACGGATGGTGACACTAAGTTCAAACGGAAACGGTCGTGGTCGAAAAACAGTGAGCCGTCATAGAATAGTCATTTGTTGTGTGTTTGGTGGGGTTGGCAAGGAATCATACACAAAATTTATACCGATCGGATCAGGGCGACTGACCGTCTGTCTCTCAGCTTTGAAGATATTTCAACTAAACTTGGCACACAGATGCATTGGTACATTTAAACGATCACTTATCAGAACCGGCATGATCGGGCTTCTGTAAAATTTATACTAACAATTTTTCAGGTTTGAGATTTTGGGTCCAAAATCAGCCAAAAAGCCTATACAAGCTTGAGATTTGGCATTCTAAGAGGTAAGTATAAAGACTTCGATATGGCCAAAGGCAGTACCATATATAAGCATGGGAACGTCCATTTATTAGACTCCAAGAACAGAAGCAGGTGGAACTCAGGAGATTTTTAATTTTACGAGTATGAATCAAAGCTTGAAGGCAGAGTTACTGTTTTCTCTAGCCACCCGTCCAGAGGGGAGATATCTCTTCAAAGCAGACTCACTAAATAATAAAAAAATAGTAATTTCCCATCCCTGGCTTGTTGCAATTTTTCAATGGAGCTGATTTTTTATCTGGTGATTCTCAAACCAAGCCCAGCGTATAACATCTCTGCGCAAGACGAGCTGGGCATGCTTCCACACCACTTCACTGGCGAAAGGACACTGAAAATAGACTGCAATGAACATTAAAATCTAAATTTCCGAATTGGCTACACTAAGGCTCGCTATTTCTTTTTAACATCCCCACAGAAAAACTCGAGTTTTGTGAATTCTAACGCCCAATCGATGGTAATGGAATAGATACTCCGGAGCCCGACTTTGGGTAATGAAGCCCGAATAACAATTACCCGCCTAAAGAGCGTTCAAACAGAAACTACATACGAAGACGAAGAACTAAAAAATTTTCAGATGAGTTTCTGCCCGACGAAAGGGATCTAAGTTTGCTGTGTCCCATCTACTAGACTCCCAGTTTGCACGGTGCACTAACTAAAATATGACAATTCTTCTCAATATCGCATATATGTATGAAAGTTTATATACCATTGCCCAGATCTTCGCTATAAGCTAATCTGATCTGAAAAATAGATATCCAAGATATTTCGCCGATTTTAAAGCGGACACGAAATGCAGCGACCTTTACGGTGTCACGTATGAATAGCAAACGAGTTTTCAGACATCGAGAGTCTTTATCATGTGACCTCTTCTACCTAATTCTGGAGAAAATAATGTGAGATACTGGGCTAAACAGAGGATGTAAGATCGTCTATTGACAACGTACGGCCAAAACCGTGGCGTCTGATAATTCAGTCCATTTAGGGATCAGCATTGAACAATTGAAAAGTAAAGTCCTCTCTCGAAAAACAAAGGTCAGCCTCTACGGATCGCTCATCAATACCGTCCAGCCGTATGCTGCAGAGACGCGGACGGTGACAATATACAAGAGTCCGCTTTATATGACTGCCAACAAATATGCATTTCAGTGCGTTGTGAAATTCAAACGCTTGGCGAATTTCACAAAATTTAGAAATGAGGTCTGCTTCCAAGAACGCTAAACCATGTGACTATGTAGCAGAGTTGGCCGTCCATATATACAATTTACATATGCAACATGAAGAGCGCACTCGGTTGGAATACAGAGCAACTCAGCTCGTCTCAGTGGAGCTTTTCTCACTACAACTTTCAATTGCATTCTCTTCGCCCTACTTGAGTATATAAGATCTTTGGGTATTGTACAAAGTGCAGTCTCTCGCGTGGAGCTGCCACCAGTACTCACACAACGTCACGCAGCACTTATACACGCACAACGCTCTTGTCGCAATGTCACAACAATCCACCATCCACTTGACCACCGAACAACTGCAGGCAATGCTCGACTCGGTGCGCCAAGCCGCCGTAGCAGCAGCCAATTGCGCCGCACCAGCAACAGTGAAGATGCGTGGTACCTTCATGTATTGCAACAGTCGGCTTGGTGATCAACATAATCATGAATATGTCGAGGAGTTCATACAATCCGTATTGGCTTATAAAGATATGGAATCCATAAGTGATGAGGATGCGCTCAAAAGTATTGCTATACTCTTCTACAGTGAGGCGGCGCTATGGTGGCAGGGTGTACGTGGTGCTAAGCAGGTGCACACTTGGAATGATGCTATCGCTTTGATACGTGAACATTTCGCGCCCACGAAGCCGGCCTATGAACTCTACATGGATCTATTTGATGAGAAGCAGGATGATGATACCAAAATTAGCACTTTCATTTGTGTAAATCGTGCGCTACTCGCACAACTACCCGAAGGACGACACGATGAGGAGACGGAGTTGGATATGGTCTACGGTTTGCTTCATATCAAATATCGGAGGGAAATATTGCGGCAAGATGTGAAAACATTCGAAGATTTGCTTGAGAGAGGGCGTATCGTTGAGCATAATTGGAGTCAGACAGAGAGAATGAAATGTAAAAAGAAACACGCGGAGAATTAGATGAGTGAAGAGTTCGAAAGAACTCTACACTACCCCTTCTCCTTCAAATATATATAATTATGTTTTACTAAATACCTGATTTTATTTGAGTTGAATATGGTATAAAATTCAAAAATTAGGCAAGGGACTCGAAAGCATGCCAGGAGAAGATTTGATCTAACCTATCTCTAAAAAAGGTTTTGAAAAAAAGGAGACTTTCCCGTCTAACTTTGAGACCGTCTCTAATTAGGCCCTGAAACTGAACCACCACTTACGTTTCTATAGCCGTGATAATTAAATGATTAGCAGTGTTTTATGTAATTGCAGAGAAAAGTCAGGGGTAGCGTCCTGCTTCGATCCACATTCTAAAATTATAGAAAATTAATTTAAATGTCAAGCTCCCCAAGTGAATTTCTGACATGAATTAAACTGCTCCTCATAAAAACCCATCCAACCATGGCTAGACAAGCTTGTCGGTAGGGCGACTAATATCCAATAAATTCCGCGTCAGTCGGATCTTTATACCGGAAGGACTCGGATTTTTGCCGACCAAGAACTGCCATATCCACAATATTCCCCGAAAACCACAATATTACAAAATAACAGTAATTAAACAGGCTTTGTTCATTTTCGTTCACATTCTCTGCACAACATCTACTGGAAAACTTTCCGCGCTGTGGTAAAACTAATTTGAATGCACCTGGCCTTAGGATTTACAGCAAATTCACCATGCTTTTATATCAACCTTTGCTATATGACAACAGATGTCGCACGTAAGTCACATTTATTACCACTTACACGCCGCTTTTCATTCAAACGGCAACTGTGCCAAGCGCAACTGCTCAGTCTTGCAGTTTCGAAGATGGCGTGCGGTTGTTTCAACGGAAATATACGGTACTTTAACGTCAAAAATTTTGCTTTGTTGTAAAGAAAGTCCAAGTTTATTGAATGATAAGTGTAAATATTTGTGGTGTTAAGTGTGCAGCATGCTGCACAGTTATTTCTGGTCCGTTAAATAATCACTGCAGTGGAAAAATTAATTTTTGCAATTTCTTTTTTGCGCTAAACAAAAGTGTTTTGTCGTCTGCGAATTTCCTATTTTGTGCAACTAAATTGCAAGAGTAGCGCCGCAGGCGGAAGTGCTACCGACGGTCGACGTTAGTGGGAATGAGATAAATATACTTCTGTATATTATTGTTGGCGGCGGCAAGGCTTTTGCTTATCAATTCGAACATTTTGTTGTTTTTGTTTCGCGTAGTGAAACGCGTTTTGTTTATTCGAATCGGATATAAAAGTTACAACAAAAAATTGTTTAATAATACTAGAGTTGTGAGTGTATGTGTATATAATACATATAAGTGTAGTTAAAAAGCCGGTAAACAATAAAAACAACTACAGCAAATGCGATTTATGAAGTGAAGTGCTTAGGTTTTTTGTTTCCAATACAGAAATGAATTTATGAAAATACGCAAACACACGCACGCACATATAAGTATTCAACTTCTTCCCCTATCACTACCTTTTTCTACTCCTTTGCATCATCTACGAATACACATTCAAAAGGTAATCTGTCAAAAATAAAAAAATTAAAAAAGGATGGAATTGCGACAAAAAGGAAAAAATACCACTATAGTGTTGTTGAGAATTGCTTGCAAGTGTTTTTAAAAAAGTTCATAAATTAAATAAAATTTATTAAACAAATTGAAAATTACAAAAAGGATACGTTCACATTGCCAATTCGACAATTACCAGCGGGGCGCCAAATCGATTGTGCACCAAATGCGTCTGAATAGCAAACAGGAACGACATAGGGATTGGGTGATGTGGCTGAATCGGAGGCAGCGGGAGCGTCAGCAGGAGGAGCTGAAATTTTTTATGTTATTTGCTTTTCTGATGATGTTACCATTTCTGCAACTGCAACTGTTTCCAATGACAAATGCAAGCCAAGGTGAGTGCCGCATGTGCTTTATGTTGTTGTTTGTTTCGTGCGTGAAAAGCAGTGTAGAAAGAGGGAAAAAATGCGTATATGTAAATAAACCGCATCTTTTTTTGCTTTTAAAAATTAAGTTTGTGAGCAATGCGGTTTAAACTTTTTTCTTTATCAATTCAACTGAGTTTTTTTTTATTTCATTTTCGTAATTATCGATTCACACATCTAATAAAGCAGCCAATTAGAATTATATGTTTGTGTTTTGTATCGAAATTAAGCGGCCGGGAAAATTGGAACTGCGAAATTTGTAAAATTTGACTGACCTTTTTGTTAAAATAAATTAAGTGCAGAACGATATTGATCATGTTCTCTTATTTGCTTTTTAATTTGATTTTTTTTGAAAAATTCTTCTGTATTACCATACAATTTTTGTCATATTTTCCTAAGAAAAACACAACAGACCGAATTGTTACCTTTTTTTCTGCAACATTGCAGTAAACTGAATATAATTTTAATTAAAAGCCCATCCTTCAAACACAATTTGCTTGTAACTTGTATAAATACGTTGAGATTAACTGCGTAGGAGCTTCAACAGTTCTTGAACTCAATGAATATTCGACTACATCGCGGTAGACACATTCATATAGTACATACATACATATGTATGCATGTATGAGCGTACTTATGTAGTTGGTTGAGTAAATGCTCACAAAAATCCAACTTAATGGTATTTGCACATGTCAATGCAAATATACTAGTAATTACAACAAAAAATATATATTTCGCACTTTTTATGGCAGCACACATCCATATATACATAGATATACGTGTGTAAAAAAATATTTTGCAAACTAAACAAACCATAAAAAAATCTAACGACGCGTTGAGTAAACATCGAATTTACTTAGTTACTTACTTAGAAAGAAGAAGCGAAGATGAAAACCACGCCGAGTAAAGCCAATTAGTCACTTTTGACAACACGAGCGCCAACAACCTTAGTCAGTGCAACTGCCAAGTGTCGCGGATGGTGTATTTAAGTGGCTATACTATACGTGCGTACATACATATATGCATAGGTAGAAATACTCACCTATCTATCTGCATTCCCATCTCAGTGCCAACGTCTACACTTGACTTCTAACATTTTTTTATGACGTGAATATGCGATTCATTAAGGCGTCGCTGTGTCTGCAAAGAAATTAATATTCATACATACATACAAATGAGTATGTGTGTACAATGACGTGCGAAAAAATATGGTGGAAATTAGCTAGAAAAAAGCGGCAAAAATTACTAAGATATTGCACCTATGTACATGTGTACATACTTATTCATAAGTATATATGTGTATATGTAAATATGTTTGAGGACGTGCTAAATTTCACATTGCCCTTATGTAAATATTTATCTACAATTTGTATATATGTTATTTGTATATCTACTCAAGTACTTAGTAAATAAGCTATGCCTACGTGTATACATACATATGTAAATATGGTATATACATACATTTATTAGATGATAAGATAAGAGAATTACGCATATTCGCGAACTTAATCATCAAACTTTGGTCCGCGAATTAAAACAGTATACCTAGTCATAGGTGTACATTTATGTGTATGTAAATACATTTGTATGCAAAACTTGCAGCGTCATGCGAAATACTATGCAAGTCTCTGTTTGAGTAGATTTCGGTGGAAATTGTTAACTTTTTTAAATTTTATTATATATATCATTTTTATAATATATTTATTTTATTTGCACTCAAGCGAGACATGCAATTTTTAAATCTATATATTTTATTTTATTTTATTATATTTTACTTAATTTTTTTTTTATATTATTATTATCATTATTATTACTGGACCAGTAAAAAGTTCGTTCGTATTTTTTTATTGGATTTTCAAATTATGAGAACTTTGTGTACATTTGTCCGATTTAAGTCAAATATGTCAAATAAGTCATTTTGTTCGTAAACTTGTTGCCAATTTCATTATATCCCTCTCGTAGAAGGCTGCGTCTCCATTGGCAAAAATCACGGAGAGCCAATTTTCACAGGCCTCTCTTGAGGACAGCTTTCAAGAGGTTCAGTTGTTGGCAGTAAAGGGCCGAAATGAGCGTTTAGCCATAGCGGAGCAGCTCGTAGTAGATGATTCCTTGTCAATCCCAACAAATACAGAGCAAAACCTGGTGCATCTTTGACATTGAAATTACGGGAACGGAAGCTAGTAAACCACTTTTGTGCTACACATTCGTTTACAGAGTCGGGCACATAAACCAAATTAATATTTCCAGCCGCTTTGACTGCTATTGCGACTTGATCGAAGAAAAATTGTAAAATATAGCGAATTTTCTCTTTGCTGGTATCCATCTATGACGAGCGCACATCGTAGTGAGCTAATCAATCGAAAAACACTCAAAGACAAACTTTTAGCGCGAATAAACACGTTTTCAGCGCGGTATAGTATGACATAATGCGGCACGCAACACTAGTACTATGGACAATAGCGCCATCTCTTGGATAAAACCCGAACGAACTTTTTACTTGACCTAAAATAATAATAATATGTAGGTATATGTAAGTATACGTATACATATGTATGTATGCATGTATGCATTTTTTCTATATTTTTTTTTTAAATATTTTCCAATTTATTTTACTTTTTTTTTAAGGAGAATATTTTGGAAAATGACGGAAAAAATATTAAATTTTAAACACTTAATATATTTTAATATATTTTTATTTTATTTGATTACAATACTAAAGTGGATTTTTTTTATTTTTTTTGTTAAATTTTGAATTTTTAATTTAATTTTAATTATTATACTTTTTTATTTTGATTTAATTTATTTTGTTTCATTTGCATTTTATTTTTTTATATGTAATTTTCTAAATATTTTCCAATTAACATTTTTAATTTTTCAAAGTCAAATATTTTGCGATAAAATATTCTTATTTTATTTTATTTATTTTATTGCTTTATGTTAAATATCAATGAAATATCAATTTCTTTCTTTACAATTTTTTTTATCTTGTCTTCACACTTGTTTCTACTTTAGAAAAGAAAAATTAAAATTAATTACCTCTTTTATAATTATTTTAATTTTTCATTTTCATTATTTTTTGATTTTTTTTTTTAAATTTCATACTTTTATTGTTTTTATACAGTTTTTAATATATAATTTTTTATTTATTTATGTTTTCTTAATTTCTAATTTATTTTTATTTAATTTTTAATTTTTTTTTTAATTTTTTTTTTAATTTGGTAATTTTTTTAAATTTGTTAATTTTTTTTTAATTCTGAAAATATTAAATTTTTTAAAAACTGTGTAAGTCTCAATTTTTAAATCTTTTTTCAATTAATTTCCTTTAATAATATTTTTTTTTAATTTTGGATTTTTTTTACATTTTTCAAATTCCACTTTGTAAATTTCGTTTTAGTTTTTGTATGTTTAATAATTTTTTTTATCTCTCACTTTTCATGCTGCGCCCAAGCAAACGTTAAGAAATAAATTCACACACATCACCACGTATTCGTCATCGAGCAATTAGTCTTATCAAATACGCAGTAATCAGTTACCGTTATTCCACCTCAATTGCATGCACACCCAATTCAAATTTCATGTGATTTTGGGCAAAAAAAATAAAATAGATTATTTCGAGTCGCAACAAAAGCGTGATTTGAAATTTCGGTGCGATTTCCTCTATCTAGTTTGCTTTTATTCACGTTTAGTTTTCTTTCTTATAGTCAACTTATTTTGCTATTTTATTTTCTGTACTTTTTTATTTTCTATATTTTTACATTTTTTTCTTGAATTTTTCTTACTTTAATTTATTTTTCTTTATTGTTTTGGGCTCCTTAATGTCACACCAAATCAATCAGCGAATGTGTATAGAAATGAAAAACAAACAACTGTTGTTGTATAATCTCCAACACCTTCATTATGAATTGCTTCATTAACGTTTGCGTTTTAATCTAAAATTTAAATCAAATATTTGATCGAGTTCGAGTGTTGGTCGTGACGAGGTGACGTCGCGACACTCGACTGGCGATTGCTACAGATAAACTCAAATGATAAATAGATTGAATGGAGTCAATATTATTGGGTCACATATGTACATATATATATATATACACGTATGTATGTTCGTAGTGCATGTGTGTGCAAAGTCTGACGTTTGCATAAAACAATTGGAGTCAATGGTCGGTTGTGCACCAAAATAAATTTATATAAAATCTTTGAAATTGTCGATAAAAAAATTTATTTAAGAAAATTTCTCACCTTTTTTTTCAATTTTCACTCTGAAGTAATTGAATTAATAAGTAAAGATAAATTTTGTAAATAAGCAAATAATAATAACAAAAATAAGTAATAATTGAAATTTTAAATAACTATGGAAGTAATAATAATAATAATAATAATAATAATAATAATAATAATAATAATAATAATAATAATAATAATAATAATATTAATAATAATAAAAAATTGATTTATATATATAAAATAATAAAAAACAAAAATTAGAAAAATATTCGATAATAAAAAATAATTATGAAATTTAGATTTGTTATAAAAGTAATAAACAATTATAAGGCTAATAAATCATATTTATTAATAATGAAAATAATTAATAATAATAAAAGAAATATTTGATAATAATATTAATAAATAATAACAAAAAATAATAAATAATTGTAAAGATAATTATAATTTAATTAATAAAAAATAATGAAATTAGTACGTAATAATAAAAATAATTAATAATATTAAAAAACTGATAATAAAATTAATAAATTTTAATAAAACTAATAAATAATAATAAAAGTAATAAATAATTGTAAAATAATTAATAATATTAAAAAACTGTTAATAAAATTAATAAATATTAATAAAACTAATAAATAATAATGAAATTAATAAATACTAATGAAATTGATAAATAATAACAAAATAAATGAATAATAATGAAATTAATGAATATTAATAAGATTATTAAAAAATAAAAAAATTTA